AACTGACTGAGGTCGTCAGAGCCTGTCGTGACGAAATATCAAATGCCGCAAAACTTGTTGTTGACACGGCGCGAAAGTGAAATTAACAATTTGTTTCTGGTGACGAGGCAGCTTGTTGGAACTGGCGCCGGCATTACTAATGTATTACAATCAGGTGCAACCAATGGAGCTGTTCATCGGAAAAGCTGGTCCAAGGAATTTTTGTTGAGGGCAGGGGATTTTTTCTATTTTTTGTAGGGGGCGGGAAATATCAGTACCCCCCCCCCGTGGGTCGGGCAGATTGTCGTGGATGCTTATCCACTTGTGTTTTTCCCTCATTGATTCATATTTGTTGTTGTTTATTCAGTTTTATTCTTTCGTATACGTAATTTAGTTATATTATTAGATCATGTTTTGCTTTATCTATTCGTCTTTATTTTGTTGAATTACATGCTATATTAGCTGAGATACAACAATTGAAAGTTGTTACATGCCTGAAACTATACTGTAATGCATGTATCTCTATTGTAAAGAAACACAGATTCGGTTTATACAAGCCATTTAATAATAATCAACAGACAGCACGAACGCAATAGGAATCAGTTGCAAGGTCGATTTTAAGCTGATGTGCCAATATTGAAATCCAATCACTGTGTTTCCCTCCAATTTTAATCCATAGGTGTGAATCCTGCTCAACCCTATAAAATGGCATTCTATCATGTATTCATCAGTTGCCTTCTTGTTACAGTTTCTTTGTTGTAACATTTCCATAATAAACAGTGTATTGTTTAAATGTACATTACGCTTCCTTTCTTGTAACTCTACGATCCAATGCATGCAGTTTGAACCTGATCGAATGTGAGCGAATATCATCCACACAGATTTCTTAAAAAAATGAACAGGAGAACTTTTTTTAGTGGATAGGATACTTACAGCCAAAACAAGGTCAGCTTGGGCGTTTAGTTGCGAGACATAACAAAAAAACGCAGCCAGTGATACATTTCGAAAATAAAAATACAAAATAAACTCAATCAGAGGCGTCGACCACGCGCATTGGAAATAAATATTACACATCGTGACACAGTCTCACCAGCCTCTTTCACTCCCCAACGCACTTATATTTAATACCTTGACAAAAACACAACAAGAAAAATGTAAATCAGGCTTGTAATTACTAGTAACTCAACTCGAACGCAATATTCATCACTGTAAAAGTGGATAAATTTGAACCAGCCAGCTCATGACCGGAGACGTCCAGTCGTCTTCGTCGAAAACTCGCCAATTCACCACAATCGTGGTGATGAACTGTTTAGCTGATTTTTTCAAAAGATCTTATGGATATTCAATTCATATTCATCCCAACTTATTTGAATATATCCTTTCGGGAATTTGAGACATTGTTCAAACGATCCTGTACAGGTTTATGTCTGATGTCAACTAATAATACGCAATTATCCAGGCAGTAATAGAAACTATTGCTGATACTAATCATGTTTTGTAAGCTGGGAAGTTGGATACTTGAACATGTAGTCCCCGGGCGTGTAGTACATGTGGATGAGAATAATCGTACTGTCACATGTTTTTGTCTTAGCCTTGTCTTTTTGTTTTAACCGTCACAGTCCGTTCATTGAATGTTTAGTTTGATAATAGATGAACATACATTGTATATTCATTGTGAGACTTTTGTTTTCAAGTTGTGTTAATACAAATATGACCCGCGTATGTGTGTGTGTGTGCGTGTGTGTGTGTGTGTGTGTGGGGGGGGGGGGAGGTGTCGATCTTCTTACATGTAGCAGTGAAACTGAAACGGGCACGTGAAAATTACAACTCAACCTCGATTTATTCTTCAATAGCATCACAGGGAGTTGGACAAACTTATGTATTTTCATAAATTATTAAATAATACATTGTTATATAACTTTTCTTTTACCCCCCCTTCCTGGTATCGATTTCAAGTAATCACTGATCTTTGTTTATACCACTCTTTCCTTTATCACAACTTTGTTACGCGCTAATGTTATATGCAAATTTTAACACGCGATGTAGACACGCCCTGTTATAGTAAAAATTAATGCTAGGTGTGCTTACTAGTAGTTTCCTGTAGGATTAGATGCATAAAATGAAATACGGAGAAAACATATGGCTATAAAATGATGATTCTAAGAAGTATACTGTCAATAAATGTGATATGAATAAACACAAACATACATTATACTATAAACCGTCAAAGGTTATATATAAAGATCCATAAAACGAATGAATCATGCCCACACATACTGATATTTCTGGAAATTACATAAATACATTGTGTGGTGATACTGAACAGCAAATGTTTATAACCACAGTGTCATCTATCGAGAACCTTGTGCAGCAAGCGAAATTTCACAGTTACAACTGCAACCCAGTTTATTTAGTTCATGGCGCAACTTATGAAAACCGGGGCATGCATTTCTATGCAGCGACCCGTCTACTAAATAGCAAATTACTAGTCAACTACAGAATTGGGTTTTGTCAATCGTCGGAATAAGCTACTTTGGCCAGTAATACATATGGGGGAATTTGACGGAGGAGATATTCACAGCAATCGAATCAAAACAAAATTGAAACTGTGAAACTACTTTGCGAGCGGAAGTCAACATTTACAAAAACCTTGAATACAGCATAACTATGATTACTGCAGATGTGATGCGAGGCATGGCTGGCGAAAAACTGTCGTGACACTGACGTGATTGCTATTGGCAATGAAACCCACAAATTCATTGCCAATGCAGTTGTTACCAACGAAGACATCTGATTTCGTAGCGTCATAAAATGAATGGCGCACTACAAATCAGCCGTACAAGTATATCGGCATCTTGACAATAACGGAGTGAACGTAAAAAAATCATGCCCATAACAGGAATATGTCTGTCAATAAGTACCTGAGATAAGAGAGGCCGGGGAATGAGAATCAGAATGATACATGGTTCAACTTTTACTAAAAAAAACAAACCATGATGGCACTACCAAGTCCGCTGAAAGGCCGGTTATTGACCGCGCAGGCGTGTCACAATCAACTCTGTAATAATTCCTCCTCACTTCAGTCATCACATTTGGAGAAGTAATATTCTCTAACCAACAGGCTCTGATGACCTCAGTTAGTTCCCTGGATGTTGGCGAAACGACCATTATTTAGAAATTCACGCTAACTTTTACAAAGGCCGCATCTTGAGCAATGCTTTATCGGAGGCGACCTGGGACTATGGATTGAATACTACATGTATAGCGGGGTCAGCTAATGTAGGTCAGGTAATGGAATGTTGAGGTAATCACAAGTCAAGCGAACCGAATGTTGAGGTAATCGCAAGTCAAGCGAACCGAATGTCGAGGTAATCGCAAGTCAAGCGAACTGAATATCAAGACATTTGGATGAGAAAATAACTGAATCTTATAACAATTGAATGTCAAGATAATGTCTAAATAACGACACAATTGTAACATTAAGAAAGAATGACAAAATAATATTGTAGCAATTACACAATAATGAAATAATTAAGAAATAAAGTTGAAATAATGAAACAATAGCAATACGATGCTGCAGTAATAACAGAATAATGGAATACATGTAAGCACAAAATAATGTTTAAATAAAGACCAAATAACCGAATAATGACCAAATAATAACCAAACAAGTTTCCAAATAAAGACCAAACAACTAAACAATGTTCAAATAATGAT